CTATTAGTATAGTTCAAATTCAAGTTTGGGTGGCCAAAAAGTGACATTTAAATATCAACAAAGATCAAAGGAAATCAATTCAAAAACAGAACTCAATTGATTCATTGATTCGTTATACTTAGTCACAGAATCACAATGGAAGAACTAGGGATACAACCAACAGCTGCTCCAAGTCTTGATAAGTCTAAGATTGAAAATTTATTCATTAATAATTCAAATTCATTAAATTCAAATACAGATGTTTATCTTAAATTGAAAAAATTAGAAAAAGAATATGAATTATTATTATTACAAGAAGATTATATAAAAGATGAACAACGTCATTTAAAAAGAGAATTAGTTCGTGCTCAAGAGGAAGTTAAAAGAATTCAATCTGTTCCTTTAGTTATTGGACAATTTTTAGAACCAATAGATCAAAATGTTGGTATAGTATCTTCAACTACAGGATCAAATTATGTTGTTAGAATTTTATCAACTTTAGATAGAGAGTTATTGAAAAACTCAGCTTCTGTTGCATTACATCGTCATTCAAATGCTCTTGTGGATATTTTACCACCAGAAGCTGATTCAAGTATTGCCATTTTAGGTGATGGTGAAAAACCAGATGTTACATATGCAGACGTTGGTGGATTAGATATGCAAAAACAAGAAATTAGGGAAGCTGTTGAATTACCTTTAACCCAAGGTGATCTATATAAACAAATTGGTATTGATCCTCCAAGAGGTGTCTTATTATATGGTCCTCCAGGTACTGGTAAAACAATGTTGGTTAAAGCTGTGGCAAATGGATCAACTGCATCATTTATAAGAGTTAATGGTTCAGAATTCGTTCAAAAATATCTTGGTGAAGGTCCACGTATGGTTCGTGATGTTTTCAGATTAGCAAGAGAAAATTCTCCATCAATTATATTTATTGATGAAATTGATGCAATTGCAACCAAACGTTTCGATGCACAAACTGGTGCAGATCGTGAAGTTCAACGTATTTTATTAGAATTATTAAATCAAATGGATGGGTTTGATCAAAGTTCTTCAGTTAAAGTTATTATGGCAACAAATAGAGCTGATACATTAGATCCAGCATTATTAAGACCTGGTCGTTTAGATAGAAAAATTGAATTCCCATCATTAAGAGATAGAAGAGAACGTCGTTTAATTTTCTCTACGATTGCCGGAAATATGTCCCTTTCACCTGAAGTTGATTTAGATTCTTTAATTATTAGAAATGATCCATTATCTGGTGCTATTATAGCTGCAATCATGCAAGAAGCTGGTTTAAGAGCTGTTAGAAAAAATAGATATGTTATTTTACAAAGTGATTTAGAAGAAGCTTATACTGCACAAGTTAAAACTGGTAGTGAAGTTGATAAATTTGAATTCTATAAATGATTTTATTTAATATACAACACAAAAATAGCATATGTATCATAATTTTTTGTAATTCATTTCAATGTTGAGTATAAAATCATCATTTGTATTTATCGAAACACCTTTTGCACCAACAAGTCTATTACTACTACTAACATCACCTTTTATTGAACTATCCCAATTTTCCACATCCCATTTAAAACCTTTTGTATTCAATGTTATAGGACCACCAAGTGGTAATAATCCACTATTTGATCCATGAATTGAATCTTGGATCAATTCATAATTTATATAGTTTAAACCTTTTGGAATCATAAATATTAAATCTGTTGCTGTCAAGTAAAATATCTTTAAATTTGGATTTGATTTAGATAATTTAAATAATAACATTATTGAATGTATAGTATGATCGAATCTTCCATCTATAGCACCAATAACTATAACTTGAATATTATCATTAAAGCCTTGTAATTTTGAATGTTTTTGTATAATTCCATCATATGGATCAATTTCATTAGGTATTAGTTCCAATCCTTGATTTTGTAAATCATAATAAACTTCAACAGTTTCTAAACATTTACCTATATCTGTAGCAAATTGTGTATATTGTGGTAAAATTCCAACACCTTTTGATTGATACCAATCTCGAACATCATCCCTAAGTGAATCTAAATCACCAACTATAAAATGAGGTAAATATTGTTCTCTTTCTGAATCTGCATCAAAATATTCGTATAATCTATTAGCACCACCATCTCCACAGATTTTTAGCTTGTAATGGGACCAGAGTTGTTTAAAATTGGGTACTGAAATTGGTTGATTAAGTATAAGTAGTGCACTATGATTAGATGGTTTGAAAACCGATGTTATATCTATTGTGTGGGCATTTGATGGGATTGGGACATCTATAGTTTCTGGGTTTTCAATGACATTGGACATCTCTTGATTCTTAGTAGTAATATTCGACCTCGGGTTGTAATATGGTTAAAATGCTTTGAATTGATAATTTTTCAATTTTGAACTGATGTCTGATGATATCTGATGAATATTCGTTTACAGAGCTTTAAAGTATGGAAATTGGTTTAAATTGGTATCCAAGAGGTAAAGATTTGATAACCAACTAAATAATCTGATAATATTACAACTTATAACTTAAAATCACTTTCAATTATTCAAAAAGTCCTTAAACTCATCAAATTTCTGTGAAAAGTTTATATTTATGTCTCAAATGAACTTAACTATGGAAACCGGAATACTTTTCCACCACCTCGGAAGTCATCCAGTATAATCAATTTGTTGACATAAACACAATAAAACCACAATAAAAGACAAAACCATGAACTAGATTTGAACCTTCAGAAACCAAAGAGAAATCAAGATGAACGGGAACAATCCAGACAAGTACAAGTACAGAATAGAGATCCAACAGATGATGTTTGTCAGTGGTGAAACAAACGATCCACCAATTGAAACAACTTCATTAATTGAAGATATTGTAAAAGGTCAAGTTGTGGAAATTATTATACAATCAACAAGAACTGCAAATTCTAGAGGAAGTAAATCCATATTACCTGAAGATATTATATTTCTGATAAGAAGTGATAAGGCAAAAGTTAATAGATTAAGAACTTATTTATCTTGGAAAGATGTTCGTAAAAATGCTAAAGATCAGGAAGCTGGTGGTGTGGAAGGTACTGATTTAATTGATGATTCTATTGGTCAAGCTGGTAAGAATACAAATGATATGATGAAATTGAAAAAATCCAAGATTAGATTACCATGGGAAATTCAATTTATGTTTAGTGAACAACCTTTAGATGATGATAATGAAGAACCTGATGATGCTGAACGTGAAGCTACTTTAGTTTCATTGAAAAGATTGAAAACAGCGGATGATAGAACTAAAAATATGACAAAGGATGAATATGTTCATTGGTCTGAATGTCGTCAAGCTTCATTCACATTTCGTAAAGGTAGAAGATTTAAAGATTGGGCTGGGTTTTCATCATTAACTGATGGGAAACCAAGTGATGATGTTATTGATATTTTGGGGTTTTTAACTTTTGAAATTGTATGTTCATTAACTGAAGAAGCTTTAATTGTTAAACAAGAAGAAGAAAGTTTAAATAAATTAAGTATAAGTGCTAAACAAACTAATGATAATAAGAAGAAAAGAAAACATTTATTTGATGGTCCTGATGAAACTGCAAAACCTATATCTACAGACCATATAATTGAAGCTTGGAGAAGATTACAAAAAATTACACCGGCTCATAAAGCTTTAAGAAATTTTAGAGGTGGTAGATTATTATCTACAACAAATGTTATATGATGCAAAGTGTTTATTGTTATTTTATATGATGTGAATGATATGAATTGAATACGTAGTAATGTATAGAGGGTTTTAAACATTCCAATATCTTAATGGTCCATAAAGCAGTGTATCACTTCTAACTTGGAAATTCTTAGGAATCAAAATTCGTTCTCTTAACAGTTCATCAATTTTTTTATCCGGGTGTTGTGCAATTAATTCATTATTATAATTATCAATCTTGGTTTCATTTCTACTTAAACTTCTGAAAACTGGAGAAATTTCAGTTGTATAAATTGATGTTGGTAAATTGAAAACATTTTGAACATCTGAACTAGTTTCATTAAAATCAAACATTGAATATGCAGATTGTCTTGTAATTCTTTTAACAATTTTTAATTTTGATTTCCAAAATAATTCATCTAATTTCTTGATATATTTTGATCCATTTTGTAAATTATCATATGGATATTCGGGTAATTGTGATTCAAAATCTTTACCTAAATTATATTCAAATGGTAATGGTGATGTTTTCAATTCTTCTTCATTTAAATAAATTTCATTTGATAATACTTCATTTTCAATAATTTCATGATTTATAAATGATTTGGTAACTGTTTGAATCATATCAGATATGGAATAACAATCATCTAATTGTGCAATCTTGTCTAATGAAGTTTCATCTTGGATTTTTGGAGGATTAATTTTTGGTTTACTTTGTAAATTTATTAATTGATTTGGATCATCATCATAATGACAAGAAATTTCACATAAAACTTGTAATGCAGAAATGCATTTTCTTAAATCCATAGAATTTTCATAAATTAAATCAAGAATTAATTGATCATCAAGATTTATTTTTTTAGTTAACCCCATTAACCAAAGATAATTTGCTAAATCATCTAATGATTGTTTAGGTATTTCAAAAAATGAATTTTCATTTATTGAACATTCCAAGATATTTTCTGGGATCATACTTGAATCTTTACATGTTAATATAATTGGTCTTCTTGATATGGTTAAAACATGTTCCATGACATTCCAAAAACCTCTATCAGATTCAAATAATATATCAACATCTTCAAATAATATAGCACCTTTTTGAAAATCATTTGAATTTTGGTTTGAATTTTGAACTAATTGTGTTGTACTTAATTCTGTTAAAGTTGTCATAATATCTTTTCTACCTCTTGATTGTGATGCATTAATTTCATAAACATAACCAGATAAATTTTCCACTAATGAATAAATTGCACTACTTTTCCCAACACCTTCTGGGCCTTTTAGAATCATAATTGGTACGAATGCTTCATCATCAGTTTCTTCATCATCTTCATCAACTATGAAATCATCCATTTCATCATCATTATTTTTTCTTAATTTTTTTAAATTTGGTCTTTTAGTTTTTTTTTTCAAAATTTGAAATGAATTCTTTAACCATCTTTGTAAATTTTCAACAATTTTTGGTTCAAAAAGAATTTCTGATGGTGATTCTGGTTTGAAAAAAGTTGTCCATAATGAATTATTTGGATTCTCTGTAATTTTCAAAAATTTCTTAAATCTTGAATCATTATCAATATTTGGTATTTTAGATCTAATAAGTTGTTCCAAATCTTCATCATTTGAATAAATAATATTAAAATTATAAATTGGTAAATCTTCCGTCTTTATTGATCTTCTATCAATTAATGAATAATCTAAGTCTTCAGTTATTAATTCATGTTTTTTAGGTAATGTAATAGTTCTGTGTTGTATTGGTATTGAATCATAAGTCACATGCATAGATTCTTTTGGAATAATTGGTGGTTGTAATTCTTTCAGTTTATATATTGGATTTTTGGCAACTATTGGTTTATATGATAATAGGTCAAGGTATGATTTAGCACCATTAACATGTGTTGTACCTTTAGTAAATAATGAAACGTCATCATTGACTGGAGATTTAATAGTTTTCAGTTTTGTAGGTGATAATTTCAGCGTTATTAAATGTTCTTGTTTTAGTTCACTTGGTTGTTCTTTTGGATCTTTTGGTTCCTCTTTTTTCTTATCGAATCTTTTGAAAAGATCCTTTGCAGATACTGATGAAGTCATTGACTTCCGTATCTTACTTTCTAAATCTGCAATTCTTTGTTTATGAGGTTTATATTTCAGTGTAATCATCAGTGATTGTTTAGGTTCTTTATCACGTTTTTGATATTTTCTTTTCTTTTTGGTACCTTTACTATCCTTTGTTGTTATGTCTTCCTCTTCATCTGATGTTACTAATTCAATCATTTCAGCATCTTCAGGTATAGGTGTGCTTGATCTTGGTACTGGTGATGGTATTGAAGGTTTCCCTGTAAGTAAATCCTTAGCGGTAATTCCAGATTTTGGTTTAGGTTCCAATTCTTCAAAAGTTTCATCGTCCACAAGTGTTATTGGAACTTCCTCTATATGTTTGTCTTTCTTGATATCTTTCTTTTTAGATTTTTTAGATGGATTACCAGTTAATAAATCTCTTGCTGTAACACCATATTGAACTTTGGGTACAGGTTCTGAATCAATAGGAGTAGCAACAGGTAATGGATAGTCCAATACTTCTGGGTCTTGTACTTGTTCTTCTTCTAATTTCCTTATCTTTGATGGTTTTAATCTATTAAATATATCTGTGACATTGACCTTTTTATCTTGTTTAATGATTGAAATTTCTTCTTCTTTTCCTTCTTGATGTTGCTGTTGTTCTTCAATAGAATGTTCAATACTATTCTCTATCTCACTAAGCATAAAGCTATCATCAGCTATATCAACATGTCTAGCCTCAAAGAATGAAGAGTTATTTGATCTTTCATCACCCATGGAAACCGTAGTAGCATCTGAATCTTCAGCGGTTGAGGTATTTGTTTCAATCTCGGACATTCCAAGCAGGTGGGTATCTTATCTTATATTTATTAACCTCTATTCCACCAACGCTTCTCTTTGAAACCCTTTGATTAACTCAAGATTGAATTCAAGTTGTTAAGTATCTTTAAAATGATTCTTTTAAAACCTAAACAAGACGCGGTAAATTTAAACTTAAAGCGCGACACATTCAAATGGTACGTGCACATCTTCACCACGAAAATTCAAAAATGATCAGAATTGCAACGAAGGGATATTTATTGCACTATGTTGATAATTCATCATCCATAATCACTGGTTCAAGGTTTCATATTTGTATCAGAGAGAACTATGGTCCACTCATGAAGCATTAACTGGGTCATTGTAAATAGAGTATCGGTTGATGGTCTATGCCTATCACAATACTAACTTCAATCTCACACCAAATCCAATTCAAAAAGTCAGAATAATAGTCAACAAGGTTATCATAAACAACAAATACACTATGATGTAAAGATTCGTCATTGTATGAACCTTTATATATTTCACTTCATCAAATCTATCCTGATCAACATAATAAATAATCATTGAATAAATCAATGCCAATACAAACGAAAAAATACCAATATGAGATAACACATCAGTAGCAATATCAGTATATATCCATTTCCATCTCCAAGAAGCATTAAATTTCACCAAGGCATTATATTCTGTTTTGTCAAAGATACATGTTGTTAACAATTCATTCAATTTATAATTAGCATTCAATTTTGGGAAATCTAACCATTTAGCTATTTTACCTGGTAAGAAAGTTATCATTATATCTAGATAAACAAAAGGACTCTTGAATATGTTTTGAAGAAGTATGATCCATTGATTTGTTGTTGCTGTTATGACTGGTGGTGGACTTTCTTCATTTGGTGTATTGACAGCTGCATCACCTTCAATATCAACCCATAAATCATCAAGCTCAATATCATTAGTTATACTTTGAACTGTGGACGCTTCCAGAGGCGTGATTCTATAAATTGATCTGTGGATGGGCATTGTCTTTGTCTTCAGAATCGGTTGACGATCAAAAGGAAGGAAAGGAAATGGATCAAAAGGAAGGAAAGGAAATGGTTTCAGAAGTTGTTTTTTATTAGCCGCCATGAACAAAGATCAAAACTACAAGGCCAACAATTAAATACATATTAATCAATTAAAATCTCTATTAAATTATATAAATACATTAAATATTAAAATAAATCACCATTGTTGTAATTCTTCAAAGTAATCAACTCTTCCTTGTGGAACATTCAAGTTTTCTTTAACAGCAAATCTGATATCATCAACCATCGCATTATGAGCACAAGCCATAACACCAACATTACCAACGGATTCTTGTAAGTCTGAGTGAACCAATTCATCAATTTGTGGTCTACCAAATCTAAATTCAACAAAATCTAAATGTTGAGCCATAACTTGATGAGCTGATAATTGTGCTGATTTTTCAGAATCACTGATTTGTTTTTCACTTGAATTTGAATCTTCATTCTTTGATTCTGAATCTGAACCTGATGATGAATCAAATCTTGAACCTAAAGCAGATTCTGGTTTAGTAACATAAAGAACAACTTCAACGCCTGTGTTTTTCAATTTCAATAATTCTTCATAAAACCAATCAATTGAATGCCAATTTCTAATAACCCAATATAATTTAACCTTTTTATCAGTCTTTTCAGCAAGTTTCTTAGCATAAGCATATAATCCTGGAATACCATTACCACCTGAATATAACAATGCGGTATCATATCTTTTCAATGGTTTTGGATCACCATATGGACCTTCCACAGTGACTTTAATTTGACCAGTTTGACCAGGTTTCATTCTTAAATGACGATGGATTTGTGAAGTAACACCACCTTTAATTTTGGTATAAAAGACAATTTCATTATCATCATCTGAAACAATAGTGAATGGATGTGATTGGAAAAATGTAGTTGGTTTTAAGAAATGAACATAACCAAAAGCACCTGGGAATGCCTTCCAGTATTTACCCTTTGGGATTTTAATCTTCAAAGTTTCTTCACTAACAACTGTTGCGGTGGCAGTTCTAACACCAAATGCAATCAATCTGAAAATTCTAACAGCTCTATCAAAACACCAAATAGCAGCCATTGAATAAGCCCATGGTTGATAATTGAAATCACCTGCATGGATCCATGTACCTGCTAAGAAAATAGCAGCCATTATTATATGAGTTAATAAGAAAACTTCATAATAATTTTTTCTAACCCAATAACTACCTGTAATTAATAAAATAGCAGCTGCAACACCTGCAACAATACCCCATCTATACCAGAAAGTTAAAATTCTTGTTTGAAATTTACCTAAAGCCCATGATTGCATATGCATTGTAGCAGCATGTAAAACCAATGTAAGGAAATTTATTCTTGAAATTGATTTATGATATGTAACAAAAGTTGATTGTTTCCAACCTGTTAACCAAAGTAAGAAATTATTTCTACCAACAAATAAATAAGTTAAATTGAATCCATATAATGCTAAAATACCAGATCTATCACCTGGATATCTTGTCATTTGTGCAGTTCTATCTTTCCAAATAACATTATCTTTAACATATCTATATCTAACACCTTCAAATACAACATTCAATACAAACCAACCAAATAAAACTAAAGTTTCAATTCTTGTTGGTAAAACACCAGAAATGAAACTAAAATATTTTTTACCTAATGGATAAACAGCATCTGTATGTTTCTTGTTTGAAAATAATGAAGCCATACTAATATATTGTCTAATGGTATTTATTGGTTTGGAATTGAAAAATTTACCAACAACTGAAATTTTTGATGCAAAATTATAAATTGTTGCAACTAATAAAATAACTGCCCAATAACCTAATAATCCAGCACCAAACCAAAGAGATTCATCTTCATTACCCCATCTCATTTTGTATGAATCATATGAGGCATTATAAACAGCTTGTTTATATTTTAATGGGACATAAACTGGTTCAGATTTGTTAAAACCTTCAATTTTCTTTGGTGATGTTATATATTGTGTAGCATTATCATAAATTTTAGCCAATTTTTCAGCAGTATATTTCTTCTTTGCAGCTTTACATTGATTTATTAAAGCTTCATCAGATTTTTCAGTTCTACCAACTTCTTCATAAATACAATATAACATTGAACCAAGTGCAACTTCATTTGAACATTCACATTTATAATTCTTTTTATTTGGTGTACCTTCACAAAATGTACCAGTTTTGAAAAGGGCCATTTTACATGACTGAACAGCATATTCTTCTTCTGTATAAGGTCTTGGTCTTAACTTGGCTTCTGTTAAGCATAGCAATAAAGCTGCACTTAAAAGTGTTGTGAACTTCATTGTTGTTTGAAGTTTATTTAATCTATAATTTCTAAACCAAAGATCTAATCCTAACTGATCATTTCGATATTATAATAACGGACAATCATGGATCTTTATATACCTTCATTCATAGCCAATTTTTTTTTCAATGCATTATTCTTCAAAGATCTTTCAAAAAAAGACGAGAAAGACCGAAGGTAAGTAGGTATGTTACCATGTACTGTACTATGAATATACATATGCAGCATCTCTATTACCTAAATTCTTTACCGATAAAATTGATAACTTTGATGAAATGTCCTTTTACCATCGTTACTTTTTCTATTAAAATTTCGGGCTTATATGGTTTCAATTCAAATTTTTGTCTTAGTCTTATGTGATCATACTCGAAATTTTAGACCCTTAATTTTTTTTCAAAGTTCTCGCTTTAAAGAAAAAAGGACCCTTCAAAATTAAACGTCAAAACTATGGCTGATGAAATCAATGTATAGTATAACAAATCTGGAATTTAAAAGGATCAAGTCAATTATCGCTCTTCTACTTCAATGTCAGTGTATGGTGAGTATAAGCTTGAGCTTTAGTACAACTTTGTACTACAAACTAGACCCTCGTTTCAGTATGAATTTCATCATGATCTTCATAGAAGTCAGAACCGTACTAGTCTCAGTTTTTTACACCCATATAAATCAATTCAACCAAAGATAGTTCAAGGAAACTCTATGACCAAGCTACTAAAGGACAAATATAGTGTCAAAAATTTAATCTATAACTGATTTGTCTTGAATACCAAGAAATTTAGAACTACCATTTTATAAGCTTTCCTCTATATGCAAAATATGCAAAATGCTTATTCTAGTATTGCAAGTTGATCCAATATGAATCAATATAAACAAATTTACTACACTTTCATTGGCCCTGTTTTCTATTCAACATCCAACAACCATCAGATTCAAAGAGTTATGTATAAATGATTGGCGTTAATAATGGTTTATAATCAAATAATGGGTGATCTTTCAAACATATACTGCGTACTATTTGATCATAATATGTGGAGGCATACACAGTACAGCTTCTTCAGCTGCTTATACATACCAAAAACGTACTGATCCGTTTGTTTATATTAATTGCCGATGTGTTTAAAGATTTCCAAGGGTTCAATTTGATACTCGTAATTTGTAAGTTGGTAAGTTGTAACTAGTTTGTTTAATCAATGATCATATATTATACCCTTTTAATTATATCATGATTAACAGAAACTAAACTCAGCTTTCAAAGCCAATACTATACCAAGAGAATAGTGAAGGACAAGATCGTAATCTTGGACTTATACGATCACTCCCCAGCTTCCAAGAAGGTACTAGCAGCTTTATTTCCAAGAACTATTATTGAACGTGCAAAGAAAACGTAGCTGAGTCAATCAGTACTTCTATTCATGCTATATGTGCCTTGAACTCTTGTTACCTTCAGGCCAAGGCTTCATGCTGGCTAATAACATACACTCGTTATTGTTCTCTGATACGTATAGCTTATATTGATCTCTTCGAAAGATGTACAATTCTATATGAATAGTTGTATCTTGAGTACAATTCCTTTAAAGCTAATTAAAGTATTCCTTTTTCTGCTTCCCAAACCATACAACGGTGAAAAAATTTAAGCTTATCTTAAAGTATTCCTCACCTGTACAAATATTTTCTACCAGTGTGATTTCTAACAATTCAAGTGTACCATATTAAAAGAATCAGCTAAGATCCATGTTTTCAGCGCTAATTACGGATCAAATTCATAAATTAATTGAAATATCCTCGATTGCCGTATAGATTGAATAGATTAATTGGATCGAGTATACGAGAGCAGCTTGTCAAATAGATCGAATAGATTGTTGAGATATACGGGGGCCACTAATTTAGAATAGGTTATTCATATAAGATGCCGGCTAACTTTATACAGTAAATACTAAAGAGCCAACTAGGAATATTTTTAACGTTTCAACGTTTCAACGTAGTGCGTGAGCATCCCTTAATATAGAGATTATTTTCATAAAATCAACATCCTTAGTGGCAGCTTTTTGTACTATCCTTATGTTACTGATTTTTAAGTATGTAGTCTCTCTTAGACCCATGAAACCAATGTCCCAGTCTCATAAATGTTTTCATGTGAGCTAGTGAGCGGTGTTAATTCATACATGTCCCAAATTGTAGATCGTCTAAACAGAGTTATCTGATGATGCAGGAAAATGTTCCAGATTTCAAATTAAATTTTTGTCGAAGGCGTATAAATTAATTAATTGGTTGATTAGAGCTTGAGGAGAAAGGTTATAGAAGGAAGTAGAAATATAAGTAAGCTGCTACATATGATATAGGACGTTGTTTAATCCGAGATTCTTTTTGAGGAGAAATTAACGGTTCATATAAAATCTTGGATTCATATAAGTACGCGATACGCTGAAAGTTGAGTTATCTTTTAAATCTATAGTCAACTTCAATCCTTGCAGTCCTTATAACCGCGTAAGGAAATTTTAACTGCTTTGATTGCCAAGGCCAAGGCTCCTCTCCAGCTTAAAGACCTTTCGAATACACGTCTATTCTACTACTTGGCTGTTGTTCAGCTAGCATTTAACTTAAAGCGATCGCGATTACTACTTCTTTCAAAATTTATACTGAAGTTGGCCGCGTCCCCCCAGCAAATCGTATTAAGGGACATTCAATTAAAAAAAGGCTGCAAATTGATTAACGCGTTGATAATTGGCTAGTTTTGAATATTTAACTAATAGACGTACATTATATAGAATTAAAGTTATTCACTTCTCTATGATTGGTTTTTTGAAGTACAAAGTAGGGCTTCTAATGCTAAATATCACTTTATGTTGTGGGAAAGAATCATACCTTCTTTAACTGCCGGTGACCCATATATTTGCAGCTCTTTCTAGCTCTTCAAGCCGTAATTACTGTGCTTCTAAAGCTGTAGTTCTTAAAGTTACTTTGAAGATCTCTTTATTCGAACGGGAATCCATGGTTAGAAATACGAATGTACTTATAGCTTAGATACAACAGAGTATCAACATCTTTAAAGATCAAATTGATCAAATTGATTATACACAAACTTGGCTCGAAAAAAGTTCAAAGTAATTATCTGTAACTGGAAGTTAAATTATTCATGTTCCTTGCAACAAATAAGCTTTTTGAAGTTTTTGACTTGTGCGCTTATAAAAAGTAACAAAAAAAAGCTTAGCAAAATTTTTTCTTTGCCCGCGCTCGCACAGCTAAAATTTTATAACACCGACATGAAAACTCGCGGGACATTTTTATATGCATTTAATTTTGGGAATCGGATACGAAGTTTTAAGCTTATTTTAACTTTTGTTGAGTTTATCAAGATAATCAGTTGAAAGGGATCTTTAATTCTTGTTTGAATTTGTGAACAGTTTGGTTGCAACAGGCGTTTAGAAGGTGGGTATAAATGATGATTTGAAACAGAATCATACGAACTTATGATTTGAGGTTTTGAATATATCATACTAGGTGCTAGATCACGATTCAGGGTACTTGAAGTATCTCTTGAAACTGATCAGAGATGTATATAGCTAGGGCTGATGTAGGCATATTGTTAGTTGTACGGACGTTGTAAGTTGTAGCTGGTTATGTAACATCAACATGTAAGTTGTAACGAATATAACACCCATATTTTGAAAGAGTAGCTGGTGCTAGACGTACTAGTGATCCGTGGATATATATTTCTTCATCTACGTCGTTGAAATATGTATATATATCAAGGACAATATTCAACGTCGTAGCACGTAGCACGTAGTGTACTGGACCCTGGTGTTTTTCATTCACAATTTTTCACAGAAGTTATATGAGAAGTTTTTTCACACGAGTCGACTCGAGTACAAATTATGAATTATGAAAAGGTACAAATTCGCCTTTCAGTTATCAGATCAATCTAACTTTCAAGTTTTCAACTAACTTATATATGACCGTTCACTGCAATGATCCTACCGGTAAACCGTTTAAACTAACGTAAACTCGAACAATCATGATCTTCAATGACTTTCAACTGGGGGATTACCATCCACTTGATACACCAGGTACTCCATCACACCTACTAAATCTTCAATTATATCCACTCACAACAAGTTGAATGGTAATTTGGTATCGATGGTTGTATAAATTTTATCAACTATGCATATTTTTGCCCTATAGTTTTTACGTCCGGCTTTAAAAATTCACACCCATATAAGAAAATCTTTGATAAAGTCAGCGAGTAAGTGAAACGTATAATCCACTTGCCAAGTTTATAAGTTGAATCTGTTATGGCCAAGAAAGATTGTTTAGATTGTATAAAAACAGTTGAGATTCCTGTTATGAATTGTACTCAAGTATATAAATGATTTGTAGTTTAACTAGTACCAGCTAATTTTTGAAGATTATCATGTCAATTGTCCCAAAAAAAAGTTTTTTCGTTGTTATGGTTTGGATTGTGGTCTAGGTCGTTGTGATTCTGAGTTTTGGGGACTTGAACCCACACTTTAAGATAGAAGATAAAGAATGAGAAAAGATCAAAGATCAAAGATCAGAAGAGATATCAGGTTCGTTTCAAATGGTTAATGGGTATAATCAGTATTCTAGATCTCAAATATCTCTTCAAAAACAGGCTGTTCTTGGGAGATTTTTCAAGTTATTTAGAGATCAAAACCACACCTTGGTGCGATCAATCTGATCAATATTATCAAGATAATCAAATTTAGGGACTTGTCCCATTTTCCACAACCCACAACTACACTTCGATTCCTTCAAAATTCATGTTTCTTTAATCGGTGTTTCCAGATTACAACTTTAACTTTATTTTTACCTGAAAAGCACTTTCATGCAACCATTTTAATGGACATACTTCTTTGTTTTATGACAATTTTCATGAATCTGACTGGCTAAAGTACTTGAATATGCGGTATACGTTAAAAGCTCAGACGTTTACGTTAATTTAATTATCCCTTTGGGAAAATTCCATAAAGATCAGCTATTATAAATACTTTGGAAATCCCTTATTTTTGAATCCCATAGATCTATAAAGTTAATATCTCCAAAGTTCAAACCACAACACCTCCAAATACCATGAAGTTTTCAACTGTTGGTGGTGCTTTAGCACTTGCTTCCACTGCTTTAGCATCTGAAGGATTCCATAAATATTCATATGAAGAATACGTTGTCATGTCATGTAAAGGTGCTGTCTTATCAGCTGCTACATTTTGTGAAAAAGATACTGTGAAAACATATAAATGTGATTGTAAAAATAAACCAGCTTTAGGTTCTTGGATAAATTGTATTTATGATAAATTAGGTGAAAATGATAAACATGGTGAAAAAATCGTGGAAGAATATTGTTCAGAATATAATGTTACCTTAGATTCTGAAAAATTACAAAAAGCTTATGCAAATGCAACAAAATATATCGTTGATACCACTAAAATTGATGGTTTCAACAAGACTGCTATTTTTGATACACCAGTTCAATATAACAAGAAAAAATATGTTAATTATTATAATTCTTATAAAGCTAGATGGGGTAACGTTGAAGATACAATGTATTTAGGTGCTGGTTTATTAGGTTATTGGGCAGTTATTTTCCTTGTTGCAACCATTTGGAATTTCTTGAATAAAGTTGCATTTATTAACAAAGCATTCCATTCAAAATTTGTTAATACTATAAGATCAAAATTATCATTATCTTCATTATTTGCAAATAAAAAACATTCCACTCCTATACAATTCCTCAAAGTTGTTGGTGGGTTTGTACCATTAAGAATTGAAACAATTGTGATTTTCTTTTATTTTGCCTTATTATTCATCTTTTCAGGTGTTAGATATACTTTTGTTCAAAATGATACAATTTGGAAACCAGTTGCAGCACAAGCTGCAAGATATCCAGGTGATAGAACTGGTGTTTTAGCACTTTATTCATTACAATTAACATTTTTATTTGCTGGACGTAATAATTTCTTAATGTGGTTAACAGGTTGGAAACAATCAACTTTTATTACTTATCATAAATGGATTTCAAGATTTAATTTCATTATGGTTTTAATTCATGCTGGTTCTATGCATCAACAATCTGTTGGTATGGGTTATGATAAATTTGTTACTAGATTACATACTTTTTGGTATAGATGGGGTATTGTTGCAGCTGCTTTCATGGGTGGATTAGTTTTCACTGCAGCTTATCAAGTTAGAAAAACTTTTTATGAAGTTTTCCTTGGTGTTCATATCGTTTTTGCTGCAATTTTCTTAGCAGCTTCATGGATTCATGCAACTCAATTTGGTTATGAACAATTTACTTATGCCCTTGCAGCCATCTGGTGTTTTGATAGATTTGTTAGAATCTTAAGATTGATTTCATTTGGTACTCAAGATGCGAAAGTTACTATAATTTCTGAAGAAACTTTAAAAGTTGTTATCCCAAAAAGATCATATTGGAAGGCATTCCCAGGTTCTTATGGTTATTTACATTATTTAACACCAACTACTTTCTTCCAATCACACCCTTTTACTATAATTGAAACTTCAGATAAAGAAATTACATTTGTCACCAAGATTAAAGGTGGTGTTACATCACAAATTTATAATCAATTAAAATCAAAACCTGGTCAAACTGGTATCATTAAAATCTCAGTGGAAGGTCCATATGGTAATCCAACTAATGTTACAAGATATGATACTGCATTATTATATTCAGGTTCAACAGGTATTGCAGGTCCATATTCACATGCATTAAAATCAGTTCAATCTGGTAAAAATCAACAAGTTAAATTATATTGGATTATTAGACATTGGAGTTCAATTGATTGGTTTGTTGAAGAATTGGTTAAATTGAAAAACACTGGTGTTGAAGTTATAATTTATGTTTCACAACCTGATAGTGCAATTGGCTCAAGATTTAATGGAGATCATTCATCATCAAATGGTTCTGATTCTGAACAAAAATCTGAAAAATTAAGTTCAAATGATGATGAAAAATCTGGTAATTTAGATTCATTAAAGAAACAATTAGATTTTATTGAATTTAGATATGGTAGACCACAAATTAATGAAATTGTTCATAATGATTTTTCAGAATCTCAAGGTACTATTGGTATTTGGACTGCTGGTCATAATTCAATGGTTGATGATATTAGATCTGCTGTTGGTGAAAATTTAAATGTTGCTAAAGGTAGAGTTGATTTCTTTGATGAATTACAAGTTTGGTAATCAATTTGTTTTCCTTTTGAGTTTTTTGTTATTTATTTGAATATGTATATATAATAGACTAATATATTTAATATAGAAAAATGTGCCCTGTAAAACTACAATATACTTTGAATATATGATCCTATTGTACATTCATTTTGTTTATATAAAATCTATTTTTCCTTTGAGCTATAGACTAATGCCTTTTTATTGATAGCATCTAATCTTTCAGCTAAAATTGGATGAGAATAATGATAACTTGAATATAACCAATCAGCATCTGGAGAACTTAAATTCTTGATATTTAAGTTAACTAAAGATTTTGATAATTCTTTAGCATAACCTTGTTTAACAGCATATTCATCAGCTTCATATTCATGTTTTCTTGATAATAAATTCATGAAAAATGTTAATAAATTATCTAAAGGTTGTAAAATATCATTAAATAATAAGAATCCAATAATAACTGGTTCTTGACCAAAGAATTCAAAACTTTCAAATAATGATTTATTATGAATAAAACCTGAAAATAATGTGAAAATAAATAAAATATGAGCTTGTGCAATGACTAAAGTTTTGGAAGTATGTGATAAAGCCCAATGACCAATTTCATGAGCCAAAACCGCGGTAGTTTCATCGGTTGTTGAAGTATTGATTAAAGTATCATAAATAACAATTTGTTTTGACCATGGTAAACCATAGAAATAAGCATTTGAATGGCCAGATCTTTTGGAACCATCAATAACATATAATTTTGATAATGGGAATTCATTCTTGGAAGCTAAGTTTTCAATTGATTCTTTTAATTCACCTTCTTCTAATGGAGTTAATTTGTTGAATAATGGTTGAATTAAAGTTGGATAAATGGCAATAGCAATAACTTGAACAGACATTAAGAAAATCCAGACATAAAAGACAAAACTATCACCAAAATAATCAATAACTTTCAAAAACCCAGCAAGAATTGGGAACCCTAATAAAACAGTTAACAGAATAGATTTAAAAGCATCAGTAATCCAAAGAGTTCTTGTTGATTTATTGAAACCAAATTTTTCTTCAAGAACAAAAGTTTGATAATAAGAAATTGGTAATGAAATAACAGTGGAGATGACTTGTAATAAGAATAAGAAGTATAAACTATGAACAATAACACTTGATTGAGCGAAAGCAGGTAAGAATTTGATGGATTTTGAATATAAATCACCACCTAAAGACCATAATTTTGGTAAGAAATCCAATACAATGAAGCCAACATTTTGAACATATGAGAAAACTTGATTGAAAATACTGAATTTAGCCTTTGCCCTTGAATACTCTTGTGATTGTTTAAAAGTTTTATCATCAATTTCAGCTTGTAAAGTTGGTGGTAATGAATCTTTTTGCAAGACCTTATATTGACGATATGTTAAATAGGTTTCAAATAAAAATTGGAAAGTGGTGAAGCCTAAGATGATGTTCTTCCAATTGATGGAAGGTTGATCAATAGCAGCAGCAAACGATTGAACAAGAGACATTATGAACCCTTTCTGACCCCTTTTTGAACTTCTCAATTGCTTTTCGTTTGATTTGTTTTCTTCAACTTTGTACAAATTTCAATCAAATTTACGTGGCGACAAAAATCAACAAACAAAAAAATTCGCGAACATTTTAGATAATCATAAATTATGTAATCAATATAAAGTATAAAGTTTAAATTTTTTTGCTTGAAATTTTGAAATTTTGTATATAAAAGGAAGGAATTCCACTTGAAATTCAGGGGTTTATACCGTGAGAAGCTATGTGACTATCAGGAATCAAACTAACCCAATATGAGCTCTCCAGGTGACTATTTCAAACTGATTCAAGAGGATTATCAAAAAGTTAAACGACAATTAAGTCATAAACCGATGACAGTTGTTCAGGCTCATGAGTATTTCGAAAGGCATAAGGAATCAATTGTAACAAACTTCTCTGTGGAAATTAGAAGACCATTGAATGAAATTAGGTTTTGGAAAATATTCAACGTTAAAGCTGATGGTGAAGAAACAATTGTCATTAATCAAAGTTTGATTTATGTCTTGTGTCTTTATATCACAAATATTGAACGTTATAATGAAACTGTTTCTCAAACCCCATCCAAGGTTACATTGTTGTTGAATTTAAAAGAAACTTGTCCTCACTTTTTCAAAATTTTGTACATTTTCCCGAGTGCTTTAGTTATGAATAAACTTATTGGTGTTGAAGATGATGATGATGATGATGAAGATGATGATAGTGATGATGACGATGATGACGACGATGATGGTGACGACGATGATAGTGATGATAGTAATGATAGTGATGATAGTGAAGAAGATGATGAAGATGATAAAGTTGAACCTGATGATGGCTCTAATGTGTTCAAAGATGTTAAACTACAAGATAAAGAGGACTTTATCAGTTATAATCTTGGTGAAGTTATTCAGAAATGTAAAGATGCAAATGTCTTTGAAGATGACGATTATTCACTAAATGAATCAGAAAATATTAAGTATAAATGTCATAAATTTAATGAAGACCATTTGGTTGAAACAATGATTTATATTAATAACAAGATTTGTTCTTTATTATTCAAAAAATCATTACAAAGTTTATTATTCTTCTATGGAAGGTTATTACCACCTTTATTTGTTGGTGATTATTCAAATTTGTTACAGACTAATTCTCGATTATTTGGTAATAACTTCTTTGATCCAATTGTTCGTTTGTTCCAATTTGCAATGGATGATTCTAAGAATGACATCTTGGATTCTAATAATATATTGAATGTTCCACACTTTGGTGTTGATAACCGGATTGTTTTAAAGAAGTATAACCAGTTTGAAGATGAGGATAAATCATCATCGTTAAAGAAGTACAAGTATTCTGATGATGAAGAGGGATTATCATTATTGGAATATGAAGAAGTATGGGGACCAGCTGGGAATTCATCCAATTTGAAAATTTTACATTTGAAGGATCAAGCTTTTTCCCAAAATGTCGATAGTGATGGTAAAAGTTTAAAGAAATTCATTAAAAATTCTAAAATTTTCCATTCAATTGTTTCCAAATTGATAAAAGAATCATCTAATTGTCAAACTCCAAACTATATAATCATCACAGATTATGAATTTTCATTGTTCATTAATCTTCAAAATAAAAATACTAAATCTCAAACCAAATCATCTGTTTCAGATTCTGAGCCAATTACACCAAGTTCAAGTGATGATGATGACACAATTTCTTCAGGTCAATATGATTTAGAAGTCTTGATGTGCAAAAATGTATTTTTAAAGTATTCACATTTTAATGAATTGAACTATAATCAAATCAATGTCATTGAATCAAGATTGATGACTTCAATTTTTTTGGAGAAGTTATTGGGGAAATCAAATCATGAAGTTAAATTTAATCCATTTTGTGAAGCTGTTAAAGAAGAATTTATACCAGGTATTGAATTAGGTGGACTCAAGATACAATCAAGTATTGATATAGATTTTATCTCATCATTCCTTGAGCGTGATCCAATTAATTCAACTTTTACAAGTGAGCTATATCATATTGCTCCTTTGGAACTCAAAGCTGTCATGAGTACCAGAGATTCAACGGTTGATGAAGAAATTGATTTTCTTATTTCAAAGTCAAACAAGAGAGAAAAGTCCATGATGTTGAAGTGTTATATACCAGATTTTGCAATGAAGAATCTTATTGATAAGAATAAAGCAAGTGAATTTCTTCAACTTCAAAGAGACGTGAGTCAAGAAATTGAAATACGTTCCAAGATTCGTTTCCATAATATGAACTGTCATTCTGATCTTGAAAAGATTAAGAAAACATATCCTAGTTATACTAGTATCGATCTTGAAGATTTTTTGAACTTTGGTGCTTTGAAGAAATATGGTAAAACTGTTGGTATTTTTTTGGTCTTTAAAACAATTAACAAGCTGTGGTCAGATAAAGACTTCAAAAACTATTGGAAAGAGTTTGAGAACATTATTGGACATAATAAATTCAAGAATGTTATGGAGAAAGGTAAAATTGATTGAAAGATTACATTTACTAGCTCATACTCAACTTTCAATTTATAGACACTTAAGTTTGTCATTATATTTTATTCTTTAATAATTCTCAACTTTTTTCTTTGATTTCCTATACTCTTAATTTATCTTATATATCAGCTGTATTTTAATGCTATATAATGTGCTTTAGTTGTGATATGTTTTTGCTTTATAACGTATAATATAGTTAAGTACATCAATAGGGTGAATTAGCATATTAAACTATATATGATGCGATTCCGTCCCTTTGATAGGATAACTGATCTATAGAGACGATCTGGAAACAAGGGTAGGGCTATCTATATAACTCATTGAGTGTGAGTAATGCAGCAGACCTGGGGTTCTCTATTTACCATACGATATATATACCGGCATATACGCCATGATTAACAGTCAATGAATTTGAACGACTTAGTGAGTAGTGAGTAGTGAAAATAGTTTTAGAGATAATAACAAGGAAATTGTTAGTTGTGATGTTTTTGTTATGTCGTATATCAGAATTGTGTAACGTTTCCTACATAACAACATATAATATCCAATCATACTAGCAAATACCATTGTACTTCAGCAACTATACCACTATAGATTATTCAATAAATACATATTTCATGATGCTTTACCTATTTAGTCTTCACATTGCTCCACTAATGAGCTTTAATTTGTTTCCCTTTCGCTTTTCTCTTCCTTCTTTGGAACCTGCGGGACGTCTTTCTAGATTCTAATGATTTCAAAAAACTCTCTAATAAAAAGATTGAAGTCATTAATCTTGATTCAATTATATTGATTTGATTATAATTCATTTCATTAAGATCTAAATTTTTATAAAATACATTCTTACATATCAAGACTTCCAAATCATATTCACCTGAGGAAAGTGTTTCATCATCACTTGAACTTGGTGTTATTGGTTCAGAATTTGGGTCAAATGAATTGATTTGATTCTTAATGATGGAATATTGTTTGCTTTTATCCTGATTTTGAATATTAATGAGCAACGAATACTGATAATCTGTGATGATTATATAGTTTGAATTTTGTGAATCAGATTGATCTTTAATCAAGTTGGAAACGATTGAATTGAAAATCTTAGAATCTTCAATAAAATTCTTTAAGCCTCTACCACCCTTGTTAACATTGTGGAAAAACCTTTGATCCTTCAAGTGTAAGATTATTATAGATAAATTTTCATCTTCCCATGTCTCCTCAGAGTGAAATAATGTTGACTCATCATCATCATAATATCTAGTCTTTGACACAATATGATTATCAGTACCCGGATGTAATACATTCAATATGTTATTTGGATCCAACGAATCAGTATCAGAATCATCCATTGCAAACTGGAATAAACGAGTAACAGGATCAAAGAAGAAATCATCATATAATATTTTGGAAGAATTTTGATTTTTAAACATGAAGTTTGAATAATCACCAGCAAACAAGGGTGGTAATAATTTTCCAAAGAACAATAACAAACTTTTTAATGGTTTTCTGGATAGCTCAAAGGAGAGCTTTTCATTCATTTTAGTCATTGATTCAACTAATTTATCTTGGTTAAATTTATGACATTTATACTTAAATTCATCATTAGTATCACGAACTTCATTCATTGAATAATTAACTTCTTCAGGGACATATTCATTCTTTAATGTTGGAATAACTTCACCAAGGTTATAGCTGATAAAGTCCTTTCCAGCTTGTAATTCAACATCATTGAAAATATTGGAGTCATCATCAGGATCAACTTGATCACCATCACCAATTATAACTTTATTCATAACTAAAGCACTTGGGAAAATGTACAACAATTTGTAAAAATGACGGCAAGTTTCACTCAGACTTAGCGATATTATAGACTTTGATGGATTCTGGGGATCGATATTTTCACTATATGGTTCATTATAACGATCCAAGCTTGTAATATAAAGACACAAGACATAAATCAAACTTTGATTAATGACAATTGATTCTTCATCACCAGTTTCAATAGTAAATATTTTCCAAAACCTAATTTTATTCAATGGTTTTTTTATTTGAAAAAAAAAGTTTGTTATAATTGATCCTTTGTGCCTTTGAAAATATTCATTAGCTTGAACAATTGACATTGGTTTGTGACTGATTCGATGTTTGACTTTTTGATAATCCTCTTGAATTAGTTTGAAATAGTCACCTGGTGAGCTCATACTGGGTTATTACGTTTTATAATACCATCATCATATCAGTTGAATTATTACTTTACCCCTAAAAATCACAAGTGGAACCCCTTCCTTTTATGTTCAAAATCTGATGTTGAATTTCTTAAAACTTTCGAACAAACAAATTAACTTTATACTTTATATTGATTATATAATCAATGCATTCGCGAAGCTTTGAAATTTAAGGTAATATCGGATATATGCTGTTATAAGAACTTAAAGAAGATACATAATTCCGATATACCTCATATTATACCTTGTAAGAAAATACAATCAATAACAAAACTCGATATGGCAATATTAAACTTTAATGTTATCATCAAGAGTAAAACAAAAAATAATAATAATTAATTAGTCGTATACGCGTAAGCTACCAAAGAGCATCTGAAAAAAATCACCTAATCAAGTTGAATAGTCTCCACAATAGTTTTGAATTCATCACCAATGATATTTTTACACACATTCCAAAAGTTGACGTCTGAACTAAATCCATGGTCATCCGGTGAGCTCTCAGATTTCTTAAAAGTCAAAAATATACCAGCAGTCTTATTATTCTCTTTCAAAGCACCAAAATTGACAAAATTATCAAAATTATGAGTTGATGACCAGTGTTCTTCATTTCTTGCAACTTTATCAATATTATCCATGTTATTTTTAATGTAAAGACGAATCTTGGAACGTATTTCAATCTCTTGACTTACATTTCTTTGAAGTTCAAGAAATTCGCGTGCTTTGTTCTGATATCCAGGAAGATTCTCAATTGCTTTATCTGGTATATAACACTTCAGCACCATGGATTCATGATGTTCAGGATCTAAAATGAAGGAATCAAGCTCTTCATTAAAAGCTGAGTCTCTGGTGGTCATGACAGCTTTAAGTTCTAAAGGATCAATATCATCATAGATTTCACAGGTAGAGGAATGTTTATTGTAACAATGTCTGGTCAGAAATGATATATCAAAACTTGATTTTATTTCCAATCCACCTAATTCAATACCAGGTACAAATTCTTCTTTAAAACTTTCACAAAATGGATTTTGTTTATAAAAAACGGATTCGTCATCATTTGATTTCAATAACCTTTCCAGAAAAATTGAGTTCATCAATCTTGATTCAATGATATTAATCTTATTATAATTCTTTTCAACAAGGTGTTTATTCTTAAAAAATTTATCCTTACACATTAAAATTTCTAAATCACTTTGCACTGAAGGATTAGTTCTTTCATCATCGCTTGAAACTGGTGTTATTGGTTCAGAATCTGAGTCAATAAGATTGGTTTTACTGTTGATATTCTGATTTTCAAATTTAATGAATAACGAATATTCCTCATCCGTGATTATTATGTACAGTGGAGGTTTGTAGTAAGAGCATAATACTTTTAAATATTCAACAGTTCTATTGAAAATTTCAGATCTTTCAATAAATTTCTTTAAACCAGGCAGTTCCCTGGCATTATCGAAAAAAAAACTGTCAATCAGGTGTAATATTCTTATATGGAATAAACAGTTTTTATAATTTTCATCATTTTGTGCCCATATTTCTTCATATTTGCATACACCGACATCATCATCATCATCATCATCATCATCATCATCATCATCGTCATCATCGTCATCATCATCATCTTTATTATTATTATTATTATTATTATCATTATCATTATAATAGTGCTTGGACTTCGTTAACATCATACGGTTATCACCAGAGTGTGAAACATTTAATACGTTATTAGAATCCATCTTATCATTCTTATATTCTTCTACTGCAAATTGGAATAAACGAATAATAGGATCAAAGAAGATATTCTCATATCTTTGATCTTTATCCATGAAATTTGAATACCCGCCAACAAACAAAGGTGGAAATAATCTTCCATAGAAAAACAACAAGCTTTGTAATGATTTCTTAGATAATAAATAACACATTTTGTTATTGATATAAGTTATTGATTCAACCAGATGATTTTTATTAAATTTGTGGCATTTATACTTGAATTCATGATCATTACCACATTCATAATTTATTGGATCATTAACTTCTTCAGGAGGTCTTATTTGTATTAATTTGGGAATAACCTCACCAAGATTATAAGAGATGAAGTCCTCTTCATCTTGTGATTCAACATCATCGAAAATACTGGAATCATCATCACGATCAACTTGACCATCACCACCAATTTCTTTATTTACAACTAAAGCACTTGGGAAAATGTACAAAATTTTAAAAAAATGAGGACAAGTATCTTTCAAGTTCAATAGCAATGTAACCTTAGATGGGGTTTGAGAAACAGTTTCATTATAACGTTCAATATTTGTAATATAAAGACACAAGACATAAATCAAACTTTGATTAATGATTATTGATTCTTCACCACCAGCTTTAATATCAAAGATTTTCCAAAACCTAATGTCAATTAATGGTTTTCTAATTTCAACAGAGAAATTTGTGACAATTGACTCTTTGTGCCTTTCAAAATACTCATGAGCCTGAACAACTGTCATTGGTTTATGACTTAATTGACGTTTAACTTTTTGATAATCCTCTTGAATTCGTTTAAAATAGTCACCTGGTGAACTCATATTGGGCTAATTTGATCCTTAATAACCAGCGTAGCTTCAATTGAATACATTTTGCCCCTAAACTCCAATTGGAACCCACAGCTTTTATATTCAAAAGATGTTGAATTTCTTAAAACTTTCAAACAAACAAATTTAAACTTTATACTTTATAATGATTATATAATCAGCATGTTCGCGAATTTGTGGTAAATTGGCCAGCCAGATTATTTGGGCTTTATCTTTACGTCTGAGTCTTCACGTCTTCACTCTCATATCAATTCACTTCAAATGGTGTTTAATATGTTGAATATTGGTTGAATAATGTTGAAGTTACTAAATTGATTAGTCTAAAAAAATTTAAACATTGACATATCTAGCACAAGGAACTAAAGTTATATTTAATGAAGGTTATCTTTTGGATGGAACTAATTACCAATATTGAAATGAATTTTCTGCTGTTTATGTGTTTATGGGAGATATGACCGTTATCGATGACTATAGGTCTCCCATGCAACCCATTAATCCAATATTTATAGTAAATAACTGATGATAAAGTTAACTTGTAATACATCAAGATCAACCCAACAAAACATACATAAAGTAAATCCTTCAGTCTCACTCAACAGTCCCTATTCAAGAGCACTATATAGCCATAATCATAGATTCTTTCATTATAAATAGCTTCATACTGTACAAAATAAACTAAGTTGTTATTATAAATACTAGAACTACACAACTTCATTTAAATGTATACTTTCTTATCAGCAGTTGGTTTGCCTCCCTTAACAATAATCTTTACACACTGAAGCTAATCTTTCATATCAAAAAAAAAAAGAATGGAAATGTCAAGGTGATTTAATAATCACGTATAATAATCAGATGTTCTAAATAGCTTATAATGTATCGGAATTATGTATTATTCACAGTGTAACATATATCCGATGCTACAATATTATCATTTTGAATATCTTTTGTATTACTTATTATATATGTGAATATATGCTAATCATTTTAATCATAATTGAATATTATCATTTGATTTATTCATCTTTTTTGGAGGTAGAAGCTGGTGGTGCTGAAAATTTCTTAATAGCAATTGAAACCATTTTTTTAAACCAATAAACATTAAGAACATCCAAGGCAAAATTTAATCCAACAATTGATAAAGGTAACCAAATTGGTAATTTATCCCAAACTTGATAAAATTGAATTGAAACTTTAAAAATTGCATAAAAACCCCAAATAATTCTAACAACGAAAAAAGTAATCATTAATAATAATCCATTAATAGCTTGCACTTGGAATGGGACAGTACCATTTGGTAATTTACTTATAAACCAATTAATATTAACAAATGGAGTTGATAATTCAAAACTTAAGAATCCTGCAACCCAACTTAGACAAAAAGGTCTTAGGGTTGAAGAAAATACAAATAATGAAGCAAATGCATGTAGTAAAAATCCTACCCCAAACATTTTGAAATATCTTAAACAAATGAATAAATCCCAAATGAAATAACCAATTGTAATAGCACTAACAAACCCAGCATAAGGTAAATAAGAGAAAATTGGATCCTTGTTTAAAGTTTCATTACCATATAATGGGAAAATAACTCCAATGGAGATTAAACATTGAACCATAGAAACAATATGAATATCAAAATTTTTCTTCCCCTTTTTCGATAAAACATTATAATTTTCACCAAATAACGACCTAGAGATGATTGGACTTATAGTGAATAACAATTGATAAAACACAGCAGATCCAATGATTTCATGATAATGAGCTTCATAATAATTTTTTGGATCTGTGATGAATGGTCTATATTGTAAAAAAAAATCTTCAGAAACCATCTTGAGCACCTAAAACACCAGCGAAAAAAAGAGAATATGGATTAAAAAAGTGTGTTGATTCACTTCCGATGAGTCAATTGGACTAAATCAATGAGAATATACAACTTTCCAATGGTTTAAATCACCAATTTCCCTTAGTAAATTAAGCTTAATTTTCGCCTAATTTTGATTTTTGATTTTTTCCATTATCCGAAATCAAAAAAAGTACAAACAAAACCAAAAAATTACACCAAAAAACACCTTTTGTATGGGAAAAATGTCTAAATGACCATTTTATGACCTTAAATCACTGGTTTATTGGTGTTTTTCATCTTAAAATCATCATAAACCTACTATTTTAACCCATAATTCCACCATCAAGGTACAAATCTAGTATTTAAAATTATAAGTCACATGTCAATACAAAAAACTGATTACATAAGCCATATATAAATTTTCACGTGTATTTTCGTTTACGTCGATTTAAATTCAATTCAATTCAAACAACAAACACATTTCAAACAACAAACCCAATTGTTTTAAAGCCAATTATACCATCATGTCCTTCCCATTAGTCGCTTTAGGTAACCCATTATTAGATTTCCAAGTCAACGTTGAACCTTCATACTTGGAAAAATATGAATTAAAAGCTAATGATGCAATCTTAGTTGATGAAAAACATTTACCAATCTTTGGTGAATGTATTAAAGACCCTTCAGTTCAATTCGTTGCTGGTGGTGCTGCTCAAAACGCTGCTAGAGGTGCTGCTTACATCTTACCAGAAAATTCAGTTGCTTATTTCGGTTCTGTTGGTAAAGATAAATATTCAGATTTATTATTAGAAGCTAATGCTAAAGCTGGTGTTAAATCTTTGTATCAATTCCAAACTGAACATGAAACTGGTAAATGTGCTGCTTTAATCACTGGTCATAACAGATCTTTAGCTACTGATTTAGCTGCTGCTAACCATTTCACTCCAGATCATTTAACTAAACCTGAAAATTGGGCTGTTGTTGAAGGTGCTAAAGTTTTCTATATTGGTGGATTCCATTTAACTGTTTCTCCAGAAGCTATTTATACTTTAGGTAAACATGCTTCTGAAAATAACAAAACTTTTTCATTAAACTTATCTGCTCCATTCATTCCAGAATTTTTCAAAGATGTTTTAGATAAATCAATTACATTTGCTGATTACGTTATTGGTAATGAATCTGAAGCTGAAGCTTATGCAAGATCTCATGATTTGAAAACAACTGATTTATCAGAAATCGCTAAATATATTGCTAAAGAACCAAAAACTAATGCCAACAAAAACAGAACTGTTGTTATTACTCACGGTTTAGAACCAACAATCACTGTTACTTACAACAAAGCCACTGATTCATTTGATGTTCAAGAATTCCCAGTTCATCCATTAGATTCAGCCAGGATTGAAGATACTAACGGTGCAGGTGATGCTTTCGCTGGTGGTTTCTTAGCTGGTCTTGTTAATAATGATGATTTGAAAACTTCAATTGATAAAGGTCAATGGTTAGCTAAATTATCTATTCAAGAAGTTGGTCCTTCATTCCCATATCCAAAAACTTCTTATACATCAGGTAATTAAGATGTCATATAAACATACATAGATCATTCAACAGGTTAATTTTTTGGGTTATAACTTATTATTTCTTTGAAGCAAAAAGCTTTCAATTCAACATAGATGGCGTTAATTTTTTAATTTTTTTTGGAAAAACTGGCACCAATTGTAGAAGTTATCATCAACTACAATTACTTTCTTCTATAAACCTATAAAATCCTCATTAAAATCCATTTAAATCATTTTTTGGGGGCTTATACCGTCTGTCATCTCAACCCGTGTCTGTATTTTCATAATTCCGATAGGATACGTAGAAAAATACTTCAAGTACAAAAGAAAAATATAAAGTGTCAAACGACAACAGCTAAAACTATTCAATGATTTGACTTTGAATGTTGTTTTATGAGTGTGATATATTATGAAACTGTTTATATGTGTGATAATATGTCTTGTTTGTCTGAGTGGTGTTAGTTCTCAAGATGTTGATTTAGATTTATCAAATATCACAAATACATTTGAATTTAATGTTGATTCAGTAATACATAATAATAATACCAATGAGGTTGGTTATGATTGTCATGATATTCATTTCATACCCAGAGAAGACCAATGTCAGTTTATTCAACAAAATTGTCATGATTATAAGATTGGTCTAATAAATTATATCTCATTATATTATTGTCATAAAAATAAATTCCTAACAATTTGTGGGTTCTTAATCATACTGATTATTTTATTTATTACATTAGGTATAACTGCAAGTGAATTCTTATGTCCAAATTTAGAAACTATATCCAAAATCTTTCATATGAGTGAAAATCTAGCTGGTGTTACTTTTTTAGCCTTGGGGAATGGAAGTCCTGATGTTTTTTCTACTTTAGAAGCTATGAAAATTGGATCATCAAATTTAGCCATTGGAGAACTTTGTGGTGCTGCTTTATTCATAACATGTGTCGTTGTTGGTGGTATGTCAATAGTGAAACCTTTTAAAGTTGTCAAAAAACCATTTATAAGAGATTTAATCTTTTTAATATTAGCTATAATTATCACAATGATTTTCCTAAGTGATGGTAAAATAACAATTTGGGAATCTTTAATAATGTTATTATTATATGTTATTTATGTTGTATTTGTCATATCATGGGGTTGGTTAACTACAAAAAAGAGGAAACAGGCACTGATTGATCAAAAAATTAGAAATAATTATTATAATGGATCATCACAATCAATGGCACAATATCAAATTGATGAAGATCAAGAAGTTAATGATGAAGATATACTGAATGGACTAGGTTCGATGCCTGGTATTGAAGCTCTTGATCATATAGAGACAACTACAGAAGACCTCAATGAATATAAAGAATCACATTCTTTGATAAGACCTTCAATTTTAGGTGCTTTAGAATTTAATAATCAAATGCAAAATTATTTTGAAGATAGGGAAGGGACCATTAGACTGGATGACAATGATGACCAAATACATAATACAAATATATCATTGAATCCATTACCTTCAAGACTGAAAACTTCACCAACTTCACCATTTATTGATCATGACGATGAATATAGTACTGATAGGTATCAAACTGCACCTGCAATGTTTATTGATCATGAATATAGAAATTTAGACAATTTAGAATTTCTTGAATCACAACCAGATTTTGATAATGTTCATCAAATAATCAAAACAAGATTGAAAAAAATATTTAATAATAATGATTCTAAAAGTTTGTTTTTTAAAATTTTCTCAACACTAAAGAATTTCCAAGAGAAATCAAAATTTGATAAAGTTTTAAATTTATGTGTTCTTCCATTAGTTACTATATTGAAAATAACCATTCCTGTTATTAATGAAGATTTTGATCTTACTGAATATAAACATAATGGATTCATATTATTCATGATCCAATGCATTTTCACACCATTCATTATAGGGTTTTTGAATTTTTATAATGATGAATGGAATTATAAATTTATATTAATACCCGGTTTAATATCAATAATATTAATTGGTATAAACATTTTCATGAAATCCATTATTATCAAATCTTCATCAGAATTACCTTTTAAATTAATCAAAATAATATGTTCCTTCTCAGGTTTTATAATTTCAATATCATGGATTTCAACAATAGCATCAGAATTAATTTCTATCATAAAATTTTTTGCAATTTTATTAAATTTATCAGATGCCATATTGGGTGTTACAATATTTGCTATAGGTAATTCAATGGGGGATTTTATATCAAATTTCACAATTGCAAAGATGGGATTTCCTATGATGGCATTATCTGCATGTTTTGGTGGTCCATTATTGAATATATTATTAGGTATTGGTATGAGTGGAGTTTTTGTGATTCCTATGAAAGGAAGTCCGATTGAATTAGAATTATCAAATACATTGATTGTTGGTTCAATAGCATTATTAATTAATTTGGTTTTTTTGTTAATTGTGGTTCCTTTGAATAAATTTGAAATGAATCAATTTACTGGTTGGTTCATGGTGGGTATTTGGAGTGTTGCTACTTTGATTTGTGTCTTGTTAGAGATTATAACAGCATAAAGAGAAAATGTATCATAAATTAAATAAAAGTTCAATATATATTCTCAAATTTCCCATGTTTTACTCAATTTTCTCAGAAAAAAAAAAGATATGTAGAAATTTAAAGTATCTTTATGTCATATCCAATGTCTTTAATAACCAAATCCTCATTTATATAGCTTAAAATATTGTTTAAATTACTTGCAAATTAACTCCAGAGTTTATACCTCTGTGTCCCGTAACATTTGTTTCTTACATAATCATCCGCGAATTTTTTGTTTTTCTTTGATTGTTTACGTATAAGTTCATTGAAATTGAAATATCTAATAAAATCATTGAAATCTTTAATAAAGAAACCAGAACCAAAGACTTTTCAAAATGGCTGAGCAGGACTTGTCAAAGATACATATTACATTGGACTCCAAGCTCATAGACGAGCATGTTGATGCTTTTCTTCCAGATGAGTTAGTATTCAAAGGTTTTTTATTTTGTGAAAAGAGTGTGTGGTTATTAACTAACATTATAGACAAAAACTTACATTAGCTCAATTAGTACCCAGAATTATCCATGAAAGAGGTCCATTTGTTGATATAAATGAATCAGATTTGATTAAAGAGATTGCTAGCTTAAATGCTCAACAAAATTCTGATAATGATGTTGATATGGACCAAGATGATCATGATAATTTAGAAGAAACTCCAGATGACGATGATCAATTGATTAATGTTAATGAAACTTTCACTAAGAATAAAATTGAAGCGTTGAAATTTATATCTACTGCATTAAATGAATCTTCATTGGCTTTGGATTTCGTTTCGTTATTGATTAGTTGTGTTAGACCTGCTGCTGGTACTATATCGATGTCTCAACATTTAAAAAAATTTGTCCCACCAGGTTCTTTGAACTCTGATATTGTTAATCAAGTTACAACTCCACAAGAAAGAGAATTGAGGATGAAGAATGAAAAAATTATTGGGCAAGGTTGGAAACTATCAAGTTTAGAAAGTTCTTCAAATAAATTAAGAGATTCAAGTATAAGATTAAGTGAAGAAATTTTAAAAGAAAAGACCTTTTGGGATACAATCAAGAAAAATTTCAATAATAAAGAAATTTTATACAAGACAAGAGATAAATCTACGGGGAAAAGAATATTTGCCGTTAAATATGGTTATGAAGATTCAGGTTCTACATATAAAATCCAAGGGAATGCAATACTTAAAACAACAGATAATAATCATCGTATAGATTTTGTTCCATTAAATAGTGTATCAGGTTCAGAAAAGAAATTATTAAGAGTGAGAATCTTGAAAAAACAGAATAATGATGATGAGTTTACAATTTTTGGTGAATCCAAAATTGATGAAAATTTCTCCCAAGATGATTCTATAAGATCACAAATCTCTAAAGCTAGATATTTTATATTTGAAGAAGAATTATTTAATCAATTAATTGAGGAAGCTAATCATTTATTAGCTTTTAATGTTTCAGTGGAAAATGAATCAAAATTTTCAATAAATTTAATTGATGAAATTATTGAATTTGAATATATCGAATTTGATGAAACTAAATCTCCAAATGAACAACCATCCAATTTTGATAAAACTGAAAACTCAAGAGCTGAATTAATTACAACTTATTTAAGATTAATGCTTACTATAAAATATAAGAAAAATTTAGAATCCAAAAGACAACCATTAGTTGTTAAAAATTCAAATCAATATAGATATCAAACTACGCCATCTTCATTAATATTACGTCCACTAATTGGTCATTTTAAACATGAACAAAGTTTGAAAAAAATTCGTCATTTAATTAAAGATTTGATTTCAAATGTTGATAATTCTTCATTCAAAATTTATAAATATTGTAATATAAAAAAGAAAGAATATGAAACAGATTCATTTAAAAGAATTTCCAAACCACCTTTATCAAAATTCAAACTGCTCATAGGTGATTCATTAACAATTGAAGTTGTGTTATCTTCATTAGATTACCTAAATCAAAAAATTCATATATCGGCTCATAAAATTGAGGATTTATTTGGTGAAGGTAAGAAAAAATTAATTGATGTTGATTTTGAAGATTTAATACAAGTTGAAGAATGCTTAGAATGGATTATTGAAGAGTATAAAAATCAAGAATAGATAATATTATACAATTATTTCTCTTTATTTTTTATTTAATTTTGTAACAAATTCTTCTTCCGAAACACCAGATCTCCATCTTAGATTGAAAGCTGGATGATTTTCAGGAACAAATGATTGACCTTCTTTACCATATAATTGTTCTCTATAAGTCCCGTTTTCAACTGGGTATTCAGTTTGTGCTAATCCCTTTTCTTGTAATTTAGGTATAACATAATCAACTAAATCTTCAAAAGATTCAGGCCAAACTGCATAAGTAAAATTAAACCCATCAACATCACTTTCTTCGACATATTTTTCAATATCATTTGCAATCTTATCAGGAGTTCCTACAAATACTGCACTTGTTGAACCACCAACTGAAATACGTTCAATTATTGTCTTTTTGGTGAATTTTTTACCAGGATTAAATTTTGTCAAGTTTTCAATATATGATCTCATACCATTATTTTCAACATGATTCAATTCTTGATCGTCATCCCACTGACTTAAATCTATACCTGTCCAACCACCGAAAAGAACTTGTGCACCATCATGATCCGAGTATTCAACTAGTTCATCATACTTGGCTTGGGCTTCCTCTTCAGTTTGTCCTACTATAACAGTTGCAGAACACAAAAATTTGATACTATCCTCATTACGACCTTTTTCCACTGCGAGTTTTTTAATAGATTTGATTTTATCACCTAAATTCCCCGGTGTTAATCCATTAATATAAATTACTTCTGCATGTTGAGCTGCGAAATTTTTCCCCTTTGTTGAAGTACCAGCTTGAACAATAACTGGTAATCTTTGCTTGGAAGGCTCAGATAATGAAGGTCCTGCAACATCGAAATAATCACCTTTGAAATTAATTTCACGAACTCTATCAGTATCAATATACTCTCCCTTTTCACGATCAACAATAACAGCATCATCTCTCCAACTTGATAATAATAATTCATAAATAACTTGTAAATATTCTTCAGTCTTATTATACCTTTCATCATGTTCAGGTAATGGAGCATTATTTAACAATTCTCTTGCAGTTGATGGTAAAAATGAACTAACAACGTTCCAACCGATTCTACCATTAGTCAAATGATCTAATGTGGCTAATCTTCTAGCAAGATGATAAGGTTGTTCACTAATAGAACTAAAAGTCACAGCAAACCCTACATTTTTAGTAACAGCAGCCATTGCAGAGATTGAAAGACTTGGATCATTTTTTGGAGCTTGAATACCAGTTTTCAATGATTCTTTGAAATTATGAGGTCCTTTATAAGAATCAAAATATGCTAATGAATCTGCAACAAATATAGCATGAATTTTACCTCTTTCTGCAATTTTTGCTAAATGAATCCAATAATCAAGATCTTTATATGTTGATGATCTATCTCTTGGATTTTTCCATTGACCAGCTATATTTTAATGTTAGATTAAAAAGTTATACTTTTGGAAATTAGAGTTGACATACGATATTGAAGACCTGGAGAGTTATTTTCGAAAAAGTTTATAACTAATTTCTTCTTTGGATTAATCTTTTGCTTTTTTCCAACTGGTTCAGTCATTATAGTTAAGATCAATCAACACTGATATTAATCTACCAAGAAATCATCTTCTCACTTTTATGTATCTTTTTTTTCAGTATCTCATGATCTCATTATCTCATAATCTCTATACTTTATCAAAATAGGTAATCAACCGACATTGACGTGATCCATAAATATTATTGAAAGATCTCGAAGCCATAGTAATCTGTCCGAACCGGAGATAATTACAAATTGGTTTGCGCAGGATTGAAATGTGTCAAATATTTGAGATTTTAGAATGGGTTTTTTAATAAGACTTTTGGTGGTAATATATTGATTTTAATATCAATTAATGGGTTTTCAGAAATTATAATTGCTTTGGTGTAATTATTTTCCCTAAATTCAAAGTTTGAAATTTAGTGATTTTTCAAATTATTCAATTTTGTAACAAAAATAAAAATTAAAAGATCATTAATAAAGTTTTTGAAATAAAACACAAACAACTGAGATTTGTATTTTTCCCATAGTAAATTTTTAAAA